TATATATATATATATATATATATATATATATATATATATATAGTATAAATTACCTTTCATTTAATCTATGATGATGATAAGCAAACGCTAATAAGATGCTCCTGCAGGATAAAGAAAGGTAAAGTAAAATGATATAAAATGAGATGAGATGAAATAACACAAGGTAGAGTAAGGTGAGGCAAAATGAAGTAAGAAAAAAGGATTGAGTGAAGTGAAATAAACCAAGGTAGGATAAATTGAAGTAATATAAGATGAGATAAGGTAAAAGACAGAGTAGTATGAAGTGGTATGGTATGGTGTAATGTAATATAGTATGATGTGGTATGATATATGGAAATAAGGTAAAGGTGAGCTAAAGTAAGAGAAGATGAGGTAAAGGTGAGGCAGAAAGGAAAGAGGAGGCCAAACAGGACGAAGGTCTACGAAGGAAAGCAGGATACGATAATGCGTACGCAAGATTGCGTTGGTGTAGCGTTGCGTCGCACGAAGAATATTATATCACGACTGTCACAACAAAAGAACACTCGACGAACATGGCTGGTGATGGGTGATTATTCCGTCTCTCGGTTTTTCATACAGCATCCCGTTGAAGAGCATTTAAGAGTGAAACATTCTAAAATCGCGAGGTTTCGAATCGTTCAACACGACACACCATTCGTGGAGACGCGCGGCACATATACGTTACTACGTGAAGGCACTGAATGTAGCTTTTTTTTACAAAATACACGTCGGACCGAAGAAAAATACGCTACTAACAAGTGGCGGCCATTTTGGTACAACCGATGCACAAACCTACTAAACTTTACTAATGGAGGTTTCGCATTTGGTGCCTTCGATACTACATCGCTCACCGAGCACTTAGGGTGTGTTCTACTTAAATGCTCATAAATGATGGCGAGCTGAATCCAAATATGCAATCGCATTGGTCAATTCGACAAATTGACCAAAATGATTGGACATTGACTACATGTAGGTTGCTTTCCAGCAAGAAGCACAGAGGCCCATATTCTGAAATCTCTTATATCGATAAAAATAACTTAAATGTGGCTTTTCAGCCAATCAAGTGGTTCCTAAAGTGGTGTGTACAATGACAATTTAAAGCATAAACCTTAAGAAATTAACCAATCACAATCGATTATTCTCTTCATTTTCGACTGTGATTGGTCAATTTCTTAAAACTTAGGCTATTTCTTTAGCTCACTTAAAGCTAAATTCTCATTGTAAATCTCACTTAGTGTCTGCCTACAATAGGTAGTTTAAGCCTTAAGCCTTAAGAAATTAACTAATCACAGTCGAATGTGAAGAGAATAATTAATTGTGATTGGTCAATTTCTTAAGGCTTAAGGCTTAAGATACCTATTGTAGACCGACACTTATATTTCACTTCTTACAGTACGTGAGCACCCAAAGCGAACGCAACCTTATTGTTGGTCGTCATAGCAACGCGTTGTCAATATTGAAGTGTCAGCATCAGTTAGTATCGAGTAATCTGTATTTTTCGTTATACAATTTGTCAATTTCGATAGTAAATGTGACGGATAGATACATTTCTATTACACTTTTTTTTATGAATTTCCGTGAAATTTGCAAATTATGAAAGGTAATTTAGATTTTCCGTATTGATAATTGCTCAATGATCTACAAAAGTATATAGTATCGTTTAGTATCATATAATATTATAAAAGTAACAACAATTGTATTAATCGTCCCTTGTGAACTTGAAAATTTCAAATATTTTGTTTTCTTTAATTTTCCTTAATTTTCTTTAATTATATTCTTTGTCAATTGTACAATCACTATTAGAAATATAACTTTCTATTTATAACATTCAGTATAAATTTCTGATGAGAGAAGAATACACTGTAAATATATTTTTATATATTATTGTTCATGAGTAAAATATCGGTAAGTTAATATATTTATCTTTCAAACTATATTTATCTTTTTAAATATGAGGTAAGATTTATATTGTATTTTAAATAATAAATAAAATGTTCGTGATTATCATATAAATTAATTTATGATAGGAAAAAGGAATCAGTAAAAATATAGTTGTTAAAGGACACATAAATTTAAAAATATGTAAATTTAAAAAATAAATAACATACAGTATCAAAATATTGTCGTATTACCAAATATTAAATACATAAGTTTATAATTTTTATCAATAGCCTGATGGAAATATTATACTGAAAATTTTACTGAAATTCTTGCAATTGATTCCATTTCATTATCATTCCGTCAATGTACGTAGTTTTCAATTAAATTCGGTAAATTTTAGCAGTATACTTTAACTTTCTCTATATTTGAGTACTGATATATTATGAATTTAATAAAAGTTACTGAAAAATTACTAAAATGTATAATAATAAATATTT